AATCCATATCTGCCAAGTGACCCTATGTAGGAGGAACAGTCTCTATTCTGCTCTGTGTCAGTGTGTATCAGGGGCTTTGAGGACAGGTGTCAATCCATATCTGCCAAGTGACCCTATGTAGGGGGAACAGTCTCTATTCTGCTCTGTGTCAGTGTGTATCATGGTCTCTGAGGACAGGTGTCAATCCATATCTGCCAAGTGACCCTATGTAGGGGGAACAGTCTCTATTCTGCTCTGTGTCAGTGTGTATCAGGGATCCTTAGGATAGGTGTCAATCCATATCTGCCAAGTGACCCTATGTAGGGGGAACAGTCCTCTATTCTGCTCTGTGTCCGTGTGCATCAGGGGCTCTGAGGACAGGTGTCAATCCATATGTCAAGGTGTCAATATGTCATATGTCAGGTGTCAATCCATATTGATTGTGATTTAGGAATGTTAGGTGATTTCTGCCCTTTATGGATTAAAACCAGACTCTGTATCAACTGTGTAATTTTCCATGGGAGTTTTGCCATGGATCCCCCTCCGGCATGCCACAGTCCAGGTGTTAGTCCCCTTGAAACAACTTTTCCATCACTATTGTGGCCAGAAAGAGTCCCTGTGTGTTTTAAAATTTGCCTGCCCATTGAAGTCTATGGCGGTTCGCCCCGGTTCGCTGGTTCGCGAACATTTGCGGAAGTTCGCGTTCGCCGTTCGTGAACCGAAAATTTCGGGTTCGCGACATCAATATTCACTTGTCTAACATTCCGCATCGCAGTAAACGCTATTGAGGAATTTACTAAGGTTGCATCATCGGTAAGGAAAAAAAACATACTGTGGTACTTACCTGTACTTCACCACTCCATGACCCTTTGGATGTATCCAGGCTTGAGTATCAACAAAGACAGGCAACATGCGTGTTCAAGCATTCTATGCCCTTTACACAGAATGCAAGGAACCCTCCAAGCATCATAATCATTACAGCTCACCGTAGCACTCGCCCATGGTAAGTAGTCAAACTATTTTCACATTCTGATATCACAGACGGATAAATGCAACAAAGATTAATTCAACAGGCAAATGAAACCCATAATATCTATTTGGTGATATCAGGACAGAGTTATGATATGCATGTCCTAGTCCAGGGATATGCAACCTTTGGCATATTTTGAGCTACATCTCCCTGATGGGTTGCTAGCATTATGGCTGCAAGAGCATTATGGGAGATGTAGTCCACTGCATCTAGAGTGCCGAATATTGCCTGCCCCTGTCCTAGTCTGCTTAAGATCCGCTGCTATCTTTATGTACATCTCAGTGTTGCCCTAAGATTATACTAACCCTAATCCTCATTATCTATATTTGCATTGCAATTCTGTGCTGCGCTGTGCATTTAAAAAAATAACATTAAAAAATGCAACAAATAAAGAAAAATAAAGACAAATACTAACTTTGTTGCTATGCAGTTGCTGCACATTCACGAATCTCTGTGCAGAGTAGGCAATAGATGGCACCTTTGGGCTTAATTTCACTTGCTTGGTAGAGGCATATATTGTGCCATAAAGTATGCATTTGGTCCTCAGTGATTTCCTTGGTTTTTTGCATATCCATCCTATTGAATGGTTTAGATTTTCATAAAAATTTTTATATCTGAGGAAACAGAAAATAATTTTTTTAAATGATCATTTTATTTCCTTAAAAGGAACACTGTGGCGTTAAGAATATATATCTGTATTCCTATACTTCTAAAGTATTCACATCCCTACTTAGTTTTAGTACCCTCCCTTCCCCCTCCTCGGCCTATGGAAAATAAATAAATAATTAAAACGAAAATAAATAATTTATTCACCTTCTTTCCAAAGCCGATTCTCCCACAATGCTGCCACGGCCCCCTCCTAGTGTGATCACCGCAATGAGCCTGCTTTTCTGCCATAGAGAATCATTGCATGCATTATGGAAAACCGAGATGGCACTACGCATGCGCGAGTTTTGTCACGGTATGTTAGGGTATGAGAAACAGGAAGCACAGCCCGGCCTTCATACCCAGAGGGCTTGGAGGCATGGCTTCAAACTGCACTCCCAAGCCTTCTATTTACTAAGATATTTAGATTATGGGTCACTAGTGAGGTGGGAACAACTGGAAGCACTATAGCAACTTCATCTAGATTAAGTTGTTATATTGAGTACAGTGTTCCTTTAATATAACTAGTGGTTAATTTATGGTGCTTTTCCATTAAAAAAAAAAAGATCAACTGTCCCTGTACGAAGACATATTTGAAGGTGGGCAAATATTGTAGATTTCTGTGGGTTTGCCTTGAAAGATCAAGTGAATTTATATATATACAGTCAGGTCCATAAATATTGGGACATCGACACAATTCTAATCTTTTTGGCTCTATACACCAACACAATGGGTTTGAAATGAAATCAACAAGATGTGCTCTAACTGCAGACTTTCAGCTTTAATTTGAGGGTATTTACATCCAAATCAGGTGAACGGTGTAGGAATTACAACAGTTTGTATATGTGCCTCCCACTTTTTAAGGGACCAAAAGTAATGGGGCAGATTAACAGTCATAAATCAAACTTTCACTTTTTAATACATGGTTGCAAATCCTTTGCAGTCAATTACAGCCTGAAGTCTGGAATGCATAGACATCACCAGACGCTGGGTTTCATCCCTGGTGATGCTCTGCCAGGCCTCTGCTGCAACTGTCTTCAGTTCCTGCTTGTTCTTGGGGCATTTTCCCTTCAGTTTTGTCTTCATCAAGTGAAATGCATGCTCAATCGGATTCAGGTCAGGTGATTGACTTGGCCATTGCATAACATTCCACTTCTTTCCCTTAAAAAACTCTTTGGTTGCTTTTGCAGTATGCTTCGGGTCATTGTCCATCTGCACTGTGAAGCGCCGTCCAATGAGTTCTGAAGCATTTGGCTGAATATGAGCAGATAATATTGCCCGAAACACTTCAGAATTCATCCTGCTGCTTTTGTCAGCAGTCACATCATCAATAAATACAAGAGAACCAGTTCCATTGGCAGCCATACATGCCCACGCCATGACACTACCACCACCATGCTTCACTGATGAGGTGGTATGCTTTTTATGAGCAGTTCCTTTCCTTCTCCATAGTCTTCTTTTCCCATCACTCTGTTACAAGTTGATATTGGTCTCATCTGTCCATAGGATGTTGTTCCAGAACTGTGAAGGCTTTTTTAGATGTTGTTTGGCAAACTCTAATCTGGCCTTCCTGTTTTTGAGGCTCACCAATGCTTTACATCTTGTGGTGAACCCTCTGTATTCACTCTGGTGAAGTCTTCTCTTGATGGTTGACTTTGACACACATACACCTACCTCCTGGAAAGTGCTCTTGATCTGGCCAACTGTTGTGAAGGGTGTTTTCTTCACCAGGGAAAGAATTCTTCGGTCATCCACCACAGTTGTTTTCCGTGGTCTTCCGGGTCTTTTAGTGTTGCTGAGCTCACCGGTGCGTTCTTTCTTTTTAAGGATGTTCCAAACAGTTGATTTGGCCACACCTAATGATTTTGCTATCTCTCTGATGGGTTTGTTTTGTTTTTTTCAGCCTAATGATGGCTTGCTTCACTGATAGTGACAGCTCTTTGGATCTCATATTGACAGCAACAGATTCCAAATGCAAAAAGCACACTTGAAATGAACTCTGGACCTTTTATCTGCTCCTTGTAAATGGGATAATGAGGGAATAACACACACCTGGCCATGGAACAGCTGAGCAGCCAATTGTCCCATTACTTTTGGTCCCTTGAAAAGTGGGAGGCACATATACAAACTGTTGTAATTCCTACACCGTTCACCTGATTTGGATGTAAATACCCTCAAATTAAAGCTGAAAGTCTGCAGTTAAAGCACATCTTGTTCATTTGAATTCAAATCCATTGTGGTGGTGTATAGAGCCAAAAAGATTAGAATTGTGTCGATGTCCCAATATTTATGGACCTGACTGTATATATATATATATATATATATATATATATATTAGGGTCAATCTTTCTTTATTCACAGTCATTAGAAATATATACAATACAGTGAGCACAAAAATCATAGATACATCAGGCTTCAACAACACAATACTGTATATAAAGTAGCTAATCAATTGGTTAATGAGACTGTGGGATTTTCAAAAGATTTATTGTAAGATAAAAAAATTAATTAAACAATGTGCGTCCTATGCCCGTGGTAAGACGAGTAAGTATTAGATAAAACATGAACGGACAAGAAGCTATATATGCCTCCTTTAACGGTGGGTATAAAGAAGAGGTGAAAACCTCAAGTAGAGCTTTAGGGGCTGATTACCCCACTTAAATGGTAATAAGATAATATTTGTAGCCAAGCTAGGGATTAGAGGGGGGAGGTCGGATTTCGGACCCGGTGGGACTTAATTTGAACATCTTGTCAAGTAGACCCCTGAGAAGTGGAGTGCATCCTCAGCATGCCTGAGAGCATGGCACGTGTCGAGTTAGCGATAATAAAAATCAACATCAATAAAATTCAAAGCAAAAAAATTGAAGAATTAATAAGAGAGACATATAAACTAATAATAAACTGCATAGCGGTCCGCGGATTGGTCAGTTCATACATTTTATATCAGCTGCACATGTGAGAAATACTACTAGATGGTGCCAAATGAGATGTTTAGCTGAAATAACCCAATTGGTACGAATTTTGTGTTTTGTCAATACGAGCATTACAATTAAGTGATTGTAATTGAATTTTCTTGCTGCAGACTGTGCTCACCCTTTAGTGAATAAAACCTTCAGTCTGTTGGTTTTGATTCCACACATGGAAAAAGGTTGTCCCATAGTTCACATTGGCCCCTCCACTTCCATTGACATTCTTCTCAATTTCAGATAAGCACATTTTTAGTTCTTCTCACTCACTCTCAGAAAAGAAAAAAATTAGTTCAGTGTTTTTGTTATCTAATTAATTAATTTCACTATAATTTAGATAAAGACTTACTGCATACAAGGTTTGCATGAAACCAAATACCATCTCAGTTTTTGTTTTTTTAATTATGACGCCTAAAAATGTACAGCTGTCCTGATTAAACAAACAGAAATAGATGTCTCCTGATTACTATGACAGCTAAGGGTCCAAATACACTGCAGCATAAGTTAGATGCACAGACTGAGTGACTGACTACCAATTTTTCTCCAACGGGGTTCAAAATGTATCTGGACTATATAAGTGTTCGTCAATATACACTCTCCACTGAAAATGGACAAACTATGAATTAAACAAAATAAGTAAAAATATGCACTGGAAATGTATTGAAATAGATTTTTTTTATAATATGAAAACTCCCCCCAAACAAACAATCTATTCATCATAAAAGCAGAATTCTCGCCATAATGTTAATAATGTATATTGTCTTCTTTCTATTGCAAGTGTATTAACCTTGGCTGCAGATGATGCGTCTGACGTCGTGTCATGCAGAGAAAATTAGTAGAAATTAGTTGGGTAGGACACACAAATTGTTGCTGGCTGCTTGTGGATTGAGCCAGCTCAAAAACTGCTTTTCTGCAATTCTCCTAGACCAGGTGATTGCTGCGAAAAGCGGTCATTGACATTACATTGCCTAACCTATTATAACCAATCCTATCTTATTGATTTTGGCACCTAAGATTATTATTTTTATGCTTTACAACATTAAAAAGGAAAACTAAACAGCGAATAGGTGACAAACAAGACAACAATGACCGAGACAAGAAGATCTGTGAACAAAAACAAGTTTGCTAACAGAACAGAGCAATTTTGGAATGTTGCTGTATCTTTGTCCCTCTTTTTCCTTTAATGCACCCAGACATATTTTAAACAAATTAATTTTTCAAAGGAAATTAATTTACTTGTCTTGAAAAAAAGACAGTATGTGCCTAAGGTTTTAGTCTATAGCCTTGATCAAAATGTATCTTTTGGCAATTATTTACATGTAGGCGGCTGCCAATGAGCCATTAACAATGCTAATGCAATCACGGTCACACCTTACTGACATTATCAGCAAAAATAAAACACACAGACATATCGACGTCAATTTTGGCTCAAGATAATTTCATACATTACCTTTCTGCGTTGGTTGTGTGATTTATAACGATGATATAAAATGAGCCAGGTTTTAAATTGATACCGTGCAATACCATTAGAAGTTAGGAAATTATCATTATCAAATCACCATTATCAAACTAAAAGAAATGTCGGATTGTGGAAATTTTTAGCAAGTTACAGGTCACAATTTACAACACTTAAAGGGATACACCAACATCACAACCACTTAACTGATTTGTGTCATTGGGAGTCATAAATCAGCACAGAGTTCCAGACTGACTAGAATTAATTCATTTCAAAATTGGGGTCTGACGCCAGCACACCAAGGATGAAGATGCCGTCAGACAGTCAATGTCAGGACGCCTCCCCTGTCTTTCCTTCAGGCTGTCCTCCCTGACCTCCCTACACAGCAGGAGTGATGTCAACCGAGGAGGATCAGGCTGAGGGAGGAATTTTGTTTCACAATGGAACTGTTAAGTATAATGGACCACCAAAATCACTCAGACCACTTTATCTCAATGTCAGATAACACTATAGTGTCAACCTTACAGTGTTTCTTTAAACTCTTTTTTTATTTGCTTTGTATTTGGATGGGCCACCACAGAAGGGGTTACGCTAATCAAAACTAGTGTTTTATGAAACATTTGCTATGCTTTGATAATGTCACAGTGATACAACATTTATATATATATTTTTCATGAAGTAGATACCCTAGGATATTAACTAGATGGTATTCTGACACTTTTTATCTCAAGGAACACTATAGGCACCAGAACAACTACAGCTTAATGCTGTTGTTCTGGTGAGTATATTCAGTCTCTGCAGGCTTTTTGCAGTAAACACTGCCTTTTCAGAGAAAAAGCAGTGTTTACATTACAGCCTAGGGACACCTCCAGTTGCAGTTACTCAGGCAGCCACTAGAGGTGCTTTCTGTGTCGGTGCTGCACATGCTCTGCATGGAGCAGGAGTGGATCCAGAACCATATCTCTGGAGAGCCACTGATGGTGGGCTGTTGCAGGGTGATAGGGGCTGTAGCAGGAGGATAGGAGGCTGAAGTTTAGGGGACAGGGGACCGTAGTGTATGAGTTTAGGTGCTGTAGTGGGGAGTTTGGGGCTGCAATTAGCGAGTAGCAGGAAAGTGGAGTTGAAGTAGAAGCTTAGATGGCTGTAGTGGAGCTTAGGGGGCTGTAGTGGAGTATATGGGATTATAGTGGAGGGATGGGGCTCTAATTAAATGAAATGACATTCACAGACACATACACTGGCATACAGAAACACATACAAAAATATACCTACAGAGGCACACACAAAGATACACACACACACAGATACACATACACACATCGTCAAACACACACACACACACACACACACACATAGATTTACAATACACACACTGACACACATACCTATACATACACACATTGTCACACACACACACACACACACATAGATAAACACACACACACACTGGCACACAGATACACACATGACAATAGTAGATCCAAGGATATGAAATCCGAGGAGCACAGCCAAGGTTCCCTGGGTATGCATATATATATATATATATATATATATATCTGATTAAAACACATTTTATTATAGAACATAAGTTTACCTTTGACAAAGGCGCTTTAGCAGCGCCGAAACGTACGTTAGGTTATATGCCTCCTTGATCTTATTTTCACGGCACAATTTGCAGTGTACACAGGGTGTGGAATGATGGCCAGGAGATTCATCATAGCGTTTCAATAGCAATGGCTAATTAAGTTGGGAAATTTTTTAGGGTCAGCATTCAGGTTTACTTTTCAAATTGGTTTATACTATCACTAGGAGGGGTGAAGCAACAGTCAGTTAGAACTTGGAGAAACCGTTTATAGAGCACTTCCAATGTGTCCTCTATGTGCAGTATACTTATAGGTGGTGTATATATACACGTCTATTATCTACAGAATTTAGAAATGTTTTTTCTTTTCATTCAGTCATTTATCTGAATAATTTTGTAGTCTTTATCACACATAGACACATTTTAGACACAATTCTTATGGTTTGTAGTCAATTGTTCACTAAACTGTATACTAGCTCACCTCCTAACATATACTAAATACCTGTTAACCCATATCCCCATTAAAGCTATATACTCTATAGCCACTCCTCCACTATCTAGATGTGATGGGATTTACTAAGTTTAATTTATTTATTTTTTCTGAACTTATGTTCTATAATAAAATGTGTTTTTAATCAGATATATATAGATTTGCATATCCAGTGAACCTTGGCTGTGCTCCTCGGATTTCATATCCTTGGATCTACTATTGTTTTGTGTTAATTTATAGGGTTACACCCTGTTTAAGGTTTTCTGGACACACTACAGGTACCCATACATAGGGACTCTGTGTTTTCTTTTCTGTAGATACACACATCTACACATGACACACACATGGCATCGCACACATACTTGCACATGAACAAAGATAAACACATATACACACTGTCACACAGATACAAACACACACATACCTAAACATACACAAACTGGCACACACACACAGATACACACACTGGCACACATATGCAGACACACATACACAGTTTACATACTGGCACACACACATACCTTTACATTGTCATGCTTACGCTAGTTGGAGACTGCTTGTAGAAGGAGAGGAAACCTCTCCACAGTCCCAGGCTTCCGTCCAGCGGTTCCAATGCCAGCCACTGTGGCTCCGCCTGTGACATCCTGTGCGTGCTTGCCGATGTCATGACGCAAATTATGTCACAGCCCGCCAAAACGTCCAAATTTAAATTTTTGGGGATGTGGCTTCGAAATTAAAGAACCAGACTATAAAAGACCACCCATAGAACATTGCCCTGCTGTGGTTCTAACTACAGTTCCCAATAGTGCTTTGTATTTTCTGTAATCTTGTGTATTGACCTTGGCTATCTGACCATTCTCCTTTCTGTATTCCTGACTCGGCTTTTGTACCTAGCTACTGTGATTTCTGGTTCCCTTGACTCGGCTTGTATTTCTTGCATCTGTGATTTCTGGCTCCCCCGATCTTGGCTTATCTCCGACCATTCTTTATCTGTCTAATGTTAAGTCCGGCCATTCTAAAGCCCGGTATACGTTCTTCTATTACATCCTGCGTGTTGGGTCTCTTAGGAATCCTGACACACATACACACATACCCACACAGATACACACACATACTTACACTGGCACACACACACGCAGATACACACTGATACTCACAGATACACACACACATACCTACACATACACACAGTGGCTCACACAGATATACATACATACAAACACAGATTTACACATACACACACACCTATAAACACACACATGCACACACACACACACATACACACTGGCACACACAGATACAGGAACATACATAAACATACTGGCACACCAATACACACACACATACCTACACATACACACTGGTACACACACAAACATAAACTGGCACACAGATACACACACACATACCTACAAATACACACACTGGCACACACAAAGATAAAGACAAACATAAACTGGCACGCAGATACACAAATATACCTATACACACATACCTACACATACACAGATACACACATACACATACTGGCACACAGATACAGACACAAATACCTACACATTCACATTGGCACATGCACACACACATATACACACATATCTACACATACACACACTGATACACACACAAACAGATACACACATACACATACCTACACTTATACACACACACAGATACACAATGGTACTCAAAGATACACACAAATACCTACATATACACACACTGACACACAAACACAGATACACACATACACATACCTAAACATAGAGAGTGGCACACACACAAATTGCAGTTGACATATAATTAACCACCCCCTGCTTCCATACCTTTTGGTTGCAGGGAGGTGAATTTCTGGGACTGGCTGATGCTGACGGGAGTCTGCCTAGAGAGCTCTCTCTCCTCCCTCTTCCTCTCTTTGTTTCTACAGTCCTCCCAGCACATGCAATCTGTAAGCTGGGAGGAAGTAACAGGTTGATTCAATGCATCTCTATGAGGGAGTCATTTTGCTCTGCCCCTGCCTCACCTTCTTGGCTGAGATCATCAGAATTGACAATCTCAGCCAATCCATTGATTCCCTATGGGAAAATATTGTGATTGGCTGAGATTATCAATTCTGATGATGTCAGCCAAAAAGGTGGATCAGGGGCATGGCAGGATGCGAGGAACCCTTGCGCGGAGCTAGATAAAGGTGAGTAAATCACCTTTCTAACTCGAGGTAAGGGGAACCTACGACCTAAAAGGTGATTTTGGAACTATAGTGTCAGCAATACATGTTAGAGTTCCTGACACTATAGTGGCCCTTTAACTATTTTCCACAAAACCCTTCTAAAGTTTGTAGCAATATTTTTTTTTCACATCCATTCAAACACACACCAATTTTTCTGTATATTTTGTAAATCTGCTATGCAGTAAAAAAATGTTCTGTTACATTTGCCACAGCAGGTGTTTGTGAAGTTGCAGGGCCAGATTAGACACCTGCACATTTAATGTTCAGACTAGGAATTTTGACAGAATGATTTGCAATGGTTGTATCTTATTCTGAGACATAACTCCAACAAATCTATCTGTCAAAATTCCAGAGAATTATTCTACAGCCCTTTTTAACAAATTGTTTCAGTTTGTGATATCTCTTTTTTTACACTTGTTTACAATTTTTAAATTGTTCTCAGCTGCATGCTTTGCTGAAGGCAGTTTCTTCATGTTTTTGTGAACATTTCAATGCTCTCATCTTTTACAGTGAAAGTGTAAACATATATTTTAGTACAGGTCTTAAAATGTAAAATCCTATGCCCTGTAGACCCCTGCGACCAGGGTGCCCGTTAGCATTATGGTGCGGCCCCGGCACCCACGATATAACTGCCAGGGCCGATCTTTTAGGGGCCTATTGGGTGGCCCATGCTGTGAGGGTCACCTGATGTCAATGAATTTCCGGATGGCCAGTCAGCGCTGTGGCGCTTTCACAGTGCAACTGGGCCTGCTGTAATGATGTCAGACTCTGGGGGGAAGTGACAGCCCCGGTTCCAACGGACGTTCTTGGTCTGCTTTGGCAGTAGGAGGACTGGTAGGCCTCCCAGGCCCAGCAGTAACTGGTAGGCCTCCCACGCCCAGCAGTAACTCTACTGAAGAATCAGAATATGTATCCAGATCGGCGGCCATCTTGGGCCCCAAAGCGCCTTGTGCTTCGCGGAGCAGGTTTCCAATATTCATTCCCGCTCTGGGTTTGTCGGGTCTCTGTATTTTAGTCTTCCGACCCATAGTCTTCTGAGCCGTGTTGTGGGCGAATTTCAGGTGTGAAAGTGCGATATTATTATTGTTTTATCTCTATATTGCACACAGCTCTTCACATGTGCGTCTGTCCTCTTTCGATGCTTAGCTCCCACAATTGCAAGTTTAACCCTTTAAGGACCAAACTTCTGGAATAAAAGGGAATCATGACATGTCACACATGTCATGTGTCCTTAAGAGGTTAAAGGCTTCATGGCACACTCAACAGGGGTGAAGTTTACTCACCAATGGCTAAACACAGGTAAACATTTTTAACCAGGCCCTAGGAAATTAAGGGTATCAGTTATTAAAAAATCTAAGGACATGAACAAAAAGTTTTTTCAGGGACTAAATTGTAATTCTGGACTGAGATTGATATCAACATTTAGGAAAAATGAGGCGGGCCCTTGTTATATTATATCCTTTATTGTGGGACCGACATGCTATCTGTGAATGAAAAATATCCCCCAAAAATATTAACATTGTTAAAAATACTCAATATGTCATGTAATGTGCTAGGTTGCCTATTTTTTTTTTATTTTTATTTTTTTACAAGTGTCATACAATGTCTATGTAAATACTGCATTGGGCCTACTTTCTAAAAATACAAACTTAAGAATACAAAAAAATGCATAAATACGAAAATAGCTTCAATCAATTACTAATTCAAAGTATTAAAAGCATTATTCAGTTTATTCATGTTCTTTTACTTTAATTACGTTCTTTTACTATTTATTTTAAATATTTCTAAAACTACAACTGTTTTAATGTATTTGTTCTCATTTATTATTCTCTACTATTTTACCTATTATAGTATGTCAATCAATCTGGTTTAATGTTGACAACTTTACATTGTATCAGCTATTATTATTGTATCCCTGTAATAGCTTGTTTTAATTTATATAATTTGTATGTTATTATTTTTTTTTTTTATTTATTTTTTTTATTAGTACCACGTTTTTAGCCCTCTTTATTTATGAATCCCCTTTTTTTCTCTTTTTAATCTTTTTTACATTATATAGCTACAATCAGTCACCCTCTCGAGTCACATGACCCGGGAGACTGATTCCACTGCCATCTGCTATATGGCCCAGCTCCTGTTTCATAAATTCTGTCTCCATTTTGAAGCAGATGTGCCGTCTAGTTACACGGCATTTCACTTCACACATCCAGCTCTATTAGATATCCCTCTCCCTAAATTGTATTACATTAATAAATTGTATTATTGTGGCGGAACCAACCTCGCCACTGGGCATTGGAGAAGACTTATTGCCAGCCTCCTGCCATGTGACTATGGCCCCTGGGATGTATTGCCTGCTCTCCTGTACTGCTGAGGATTGATACCAGCTAGATGGATTTGGCTATGGAACTTGTGTAGTGCCCTTTGTTGGTAGCAACAGTAATATGCACTACCTGAATGGCAAGACTGGTAATTTGCATATTCGGGTAGATTTGCATATTGCTAATTCTGCATGCAGGAGAGACATTTTGTGTTAATTGTGGTCTTCCCCACCCATTTATAAATATGTAATTATGTTATAATAAGTCACTGTATGTTGCCTGCTATGATTTCATTGTTTGTAATTTTATTGAGTTTTCACAGCAATGTTAATGTAATGACCATATGGGCTAGTCCCAAGTAAAATAAAATTTTAGACAGTTCTACTTCACTCTCAATTTGTAGTCCTGTCTCTTATTGGGGGGAATCTGCTACAAGGGATTGCTATGCTCTGCATATTCCCTTGCTATAATCATTCCTAAGATCTTTTAAGAGCTTGTTCCTGCTTTGCTCGGAATGAAGAGAGGTTCTGCCTGCGGTGGTTGTGGTGTCGACTAGAGTGCTTGGAGCCCTCAAGAAGTGCTAGGAGCATCCATCAACGGAGGTACCCAGTCGGGGTGCCAGGTGATCCGTTACATTGGTGGCAGCGGTGGGATGGCTTCCTAGCCTTTGGAAAACCAGCACTACTTCAGAGATGGAAGGCCGTGTGGTATCTCACTTTGACGCCAGGCTCCAGCAGTGACTACTGGATGTGATGCGCAGTATGGAGTATCCTATCCCAGAGGAAAGAGAGACAGAGTGGAGGGTGGCGCTTCGTACCGATCTCTGGAAGGAGGACATCGACAAATAGACCCTTCCGGTGCGAGGAAATCCTGACCACTAACCAGCGCCAAGCAGTTGCGGATGCCGTTATTGGGAAACCAGCCCTCAGAGGAATGGGTAAGCGAACTGGAGACGCTAGTTGAGACTGAGGTGTGGCTGGATGATTCCTATCGGGCCCTGCGGTGGCATGCTTACCACCTCTACCCATGGCTGATCGAGTACAAGTGTATTGTGGGGGAAGACTACGATGGCCCTGGTTTGTTGTGGGATACTATTGAAACTAGTCTATGGTTCGGAGACACCGACATTGCTCGCTTCTGGTCCATCCGAGCTGAGCGGGCAGACAACTGGGACCTTACGGAGATCGATGCCATTCATGCCATTCTACAGTTACAAATGATTTATGGTTAAAATGCATTTGACAAGCATATATAGCAATCATTTCACCTACCTGACATAACAGGAGAGACATGTATAAATAATATTCTAAGCAAGCGATATAGAAATATGCCCTCATACAGGACTTCCCAGTCCCTACATGCAATGATACCAACCATAGATAACAGCTGCTGGAGATGTGGAGAAGAGGTGGGCACCCTACTTCATCTATGGTGTCAGTGCTCAAAAATACAACCGTTCTGGACAAAGATCTACAGTATCATCCAAAGATTTACAGACGACCCCCCTACTTCAGACCGGCGCCGATTCTCTTACATCACACTAGAACCTGCACATCCACATACAAAAACTCACTGACGATACGAATCTTGAATGTCGCCAAAGGGCTAGTGTCCTTATTGTGGAAGAAAGACATAGCTCCACAGATGGAACTGTGGTTCCAACGAATGTAAGAACTCCGCACTATGGAAGACCTAATATTCCATAGCAGTGAGAGACCCCAAACTTACCTGAATATCTGGACTTCGTGGATTCTATCAACAGACTCCGCTGACTTCAAGACGCTATTGCAGTACAACACTTCTGACACCACCAGTAGAGACACGATAATATGGGCACGACACAACTCACTGAGAGCAAAACTTTCCTTCTATTTCCCTTACTACCCTCCTTCCCCCCCTTTTCTTCAGATACTCGCCAACCCCCTGGGCCTCCGTGCAGGGAGCCCCTTTTAAGGGACGCGCCTATTGGTAGTAGCCACTGGTGACGAAGACAATGCTCCACCCCCATGGTAGGACACATACCGACACCACATGGACAGACATCCCAATAGTCACTGGGGTAGCGACCTCACACAAACACTGTTACTGAAACGCTGTTTTTTCTATTTTTTTTTTCTTTTGATGTTAGACAGTAATTGCAATTGTCCACTAATTAGTAACCAACTGGCATACAACTAACCCAATAACAATTGAGACCTGCGTGTCTCACATGCTGCTTAAATGTTCACGGAACCTGCGAGTTCCACAGTTTCATGCTTAATTGACATAGACATGCGTGTTGTGTATTATGCTCTTCTATGTTATGCTAAACTCATACAAAAAAAAAAAAACCTCTTGTCTAAATAAACAGATATTTACAAGAAATATGCCCTCATATTTAACATCTAATTACTGGAACTCCTCTACAGATATTTATATATTTTTATTGTATATAAAACAGACAGTTCCACACCTATGGGCTGGGTACCCTTATGTTAAAGCACAGATTGTTACGGTGTTGCTGAGATCAAAAGGAAACAAGTCACTAAAGAATTTCTTTTTATTCAGATTTAGCTTCACATATAACTGTGCATGTCATCGATGACTTTCTACACTTTCACAGGAAAAAGACTTGCAGCGCTTCAGGGACTGATGATATCAATGTTTGTACAACTTTAAAAAAAAGAGGTGGGTATTACAACACTGCACTGCAAAACAGAGCGGTCTGAAAATGGCATATGGCAATGAGTGATAACTCATTTAAAAAAAATTTATTTTATTTTTTGCAGCACGAGCATAACTTTCTAATTTTATTAGAGCTCATCTTAGACCTGGTGAGTCGGACATCAGGAACAAGTCAAAAAACACCTAAATACCTGTACAACGAAGATATTTAAAGGAATACTTCAAGCACCATAAGCACTACACCTGGTTATAGTGCAAGGAGTGCCCTTTCCCTCCAACAGTATGTAGTCTAACTGTTCAAGAATTGTCTGACAATCTCCCACCTCCATCCCTGCTGCTGAAAGCTCTTACCACTGAGTTAAGCTTAGCCATGCAGGGTTTCGCTCAGAGGAGATGTGAGAGGACGCCAGGCATGACGCAGGTTAAGTTGTTAAACTGTTCTTAAATTATTTAACTTTTTACTCTGGTATGGCACTAGGGCACTCCTGGCTTCAGAACAACTACAGCGACCTTCAGTGATTATGGTGCTTGGAGTGTTCCTTTAATGTCTTTGCCTTCTCAAAAGCAGCTTGATAGCCAACATAGAGAAGGGTAACAGGTGGACACGTGCCTATTAATGTATGAGGAAATGGTTCCTGACTTTTGACTCGCTCTATAGAAAATGTACATCAGCACCCAAGCTATGAGCAGTGGTAAGTCAGAGAAAACACTGTTAGGGGATTGCTTTTTAAAGTGAGCAATGCCATTACTTACTGAGGTGTCATCTGAGATAGTGAGTGTGTGTGCTCTTTCAGCTGTTTAGTAGATAGCACTCTAACCTGGCATCTTATGTGGGATTGCCATATTAAGGATACCAAATTAGGGACTTATCTGCTAAGCATCTGAAAAGTTAGAGAAAATGTGCTTTTCTTTTTGCTCTTTCAGTAGTTTAGTAGATAACTCCGTAAATTGGGTCCCTTACGTGGGGTTTCCATGTGTAAAGCAGCTGTCGCGGTCTGGGGTCTTTGCATAATTAGCAAAAATCCCTGATGATATCCCTGCTGGGTGTCCGGGGAGGGCAGAGAGGTGAGATTTACATACCTGAACTTGTTCCTCGCGAGCACATCCGCATTCTCTTCAGCTTCTGGTGCTTCAGCTGCCAGAAACCGACGCCAGAACTGTACTCTTGCATGAGCGTGAGGACAGCACTGGGATTTATAGAGGGATAGCTTTTTTCCCCCTGGCTGGGGAAAATGACAACCTTGTGAAGTGTAGGAAAAAATAATGAGCTCTGTGAGATCTGCTCAACTGAGTCCTCAGAGCAAACACTCGCCATGCGCACCATCACAAGTAGACAGGTTTCTGGGGGTATAATATGACTCTTTTTCTACTTTTGTGGTGCAAACATGTAAAAGGGGCCATAATAGGGTTGCCACCATTTTTGGAAAAAAATATTGTCCGTGCTAATTTGCATAATTAATTATATATGTGTGACATCACAGGACACGACATACATAAAGAAATGAGAACACTTGTAAGGAGAAAGTTCCCTAAATCACTAATAAACTACTTACAATGTTTGTACTTTGTGTGAAAGTGTGTATGTGAGACAGTGTGTGTATATACTATCTGTATGAGTGTGTATGTAGTAGTGTGTCATCTAAATGTGTATACGAGTGTGTGCATACTGTTGTCTGAGCATGCTTCATTTTCTGTATAATGTGAGTCCGTGTCTACTATGTTAGTGTATGTTATTGTGTGTAAATAGTATATAAGAACACACACAGATTGCTGAATACACACACAGGCTGCTGAATACATATGGAGACTGTTGAATACACACAGACTGCTGAATACACACACACACGCACACAAACAAACACACACACACACACACACAGACTTGTACCTGCTCTCTGGACTCAATTCCTGCTGCCATGCTTCTATCACCCTTGTCCTGTATCTCCTGCTCCTCCCACACAGTCTCTATTAGTGGAGAGGGCAGGGACATTCTGCGACATCCCATCTCAACCTTCTCCACACAGTCAAACACCAACAGATTTTCCTAGCTCAGCCGGTGTCGGTATTGCAGAACATTGTCCTCACAGGAAAATACCGGCAATACAGGCATCGGCCATACAGAATTAAAATGTGCCCGTAAAATACTTGAGCCATAGTCACAAATGCAATGTGAGTGCTGGTTCTACTGGTTTCCATGGTGACTAGCCTATTTTTAGTACTTGAGACCACTTTTCAGAAGAACAGTTTAGTACATAACATCCTATATTTTTCTGATACGCATTCAGTCATGTTATATATGTAACGTCATTTCATTTATCTAGTTTGCATATACAATATATGAATGACATAACTTTATATCTGTTATTTTATTTAGTTTTAGCCTAAATTGCAATCCAGTCCTGATCATTTATTTAATCTGATTTTTGACTGAGAAAAAGCTACCACGCTAGTTAGCGACAAGGTGTCAGGCACCATGGTTGGCATATGGAGATGCCTGAATAACGCACGAGCTCTGCCATAGGTAATGGGTCTGGGGACACTCCAGTCTCCAAACGCTTAACTTATACTTTATGTCGAATCAAGCTCCCACTTGTGCTTGGTACCCGGAGTCTTACTGTAATAATACGCTGTTACTGTTCTTATTTTACCGCAATAGCCATATATGCTCCCAACAGGGGGGACGAGGATCCATGGACACCCCTCCTGGGGTGCCGAAGTGGGCCCGTGTCTACACCTGTCCTCTAGACAAACTGACCAATGGGCCTGTAAGCTATATGTGCTCTTTCTTGTGCTCCCCGTGTTATTTCTTACCTATATCTTACAAGTGTTTCCTGCCTGATTGGGCCTATGAGCCATAATATTTCACTTTAGATGAAGCCCCAACTAGGTAGTTTAACAACTTCTTTCTTCCAACACTCACACAGATCGCGGGTGACTTAATGTTAAATATAATCCTAGTACAGCAGTGTTACCCAATAACCCACATCACGCCCACATGGTCAAGGAACCATGGCGACACCATTGGGGACATGCGAGCTCAGATTAATTCTGGGCCTGCGAGCCACTTTTTTTGCAAAAACCCGGGTGCCCCATCAGCACGCTTACTTGGCTTCTTGTTGGCCTTGTTGCGCATTACAA